AAGCGCTGAGAGCTTGTCAACTCAATCTGTTTAGATTTTGTAAAGGGAGAAATTAATAACAAAACCATCTGTACTAATATAAAAAGATTAAGGAACATTTAAATTCTAACAAATAAATAAGATTAAGTAGTGAAGATTCAAACATAGTGCACTTTGGATCAGTGTGCAACCAAAGAATAAAAAACATAAATCTAAAAACGTTTGGGTAGTTTGGATGGAAGGGGACCCCAGACCTACCAGGACTTACACAAGTGATCCGGGCCTTTCAGGACCAGACGGACATGACGGCTCTGATAGGGAACGACGACCACAGTGTCCTCAGCTTGAGTGGGACAGATAAAAAAAAAAATAGGTTTAAGAAATATTAACAAACACGTATAAATGTAAAAAAAAAATATGTTGAATTCCTTTTAAACAAAGCGTAAAATAAATACAGATTTTATACCAAAGACAAGTAGAGCTAATTCAGAAAAAACATCAGTTGATGCAAAGATGATATATTGTTGAATTTGAAGGAAATGTCATTCATTTATGAGTGGAAAAGCAGAGAATTATGTAGCAGTCACATTGAATTTAACAGTTTTTAAGAGATCCTTGAACTAATCCGTTTTAAGGGAAAGCTGCTGTTTGTGTCAGATTTTCTAACTCATTTCGGGTTAAAAAAAAAAAAAAAGTAGCGCTGAAAAACCTCCCAAACCAAGAAGAGATGTCTGCTTTTCTGAGAGCAGTTCTGTTCGTGAAAAACTCCCCTGCAGACGTTTTTAAACAATATTCGTTTAAGTTTGAACTACGCCTAAGTTTTATTTTTTATAGAAAAAAAAAGTAACTTGCTAATTAGAGAAAAAGCAAGAATCAAGCATATTTACTGTTCCCTGAAGTATGCTGGGACTTGTAATGGCCTCGCACCAGCCTGCAGGACGAGCCGTCTCCGTTGCAGATGCCGCAGTTGTCTTCCTTCGCCGTGCTGCCCAGTTCATGATCGCAGCCAACGATCTGCAGCACGGAAACAGACGGAAACATCTTGATGTCCTGAAGGACTGACTGGGTAACGGAAGTGGTGATTTGGTTGTGTTGTGTTAGGTAAGGCGAAATAATCTGATTTGCAAACGTAACTGAAAAAGGCAATAAGTAAGATGTTAGACTGCAACGCCTTTGTGGGATTTTAAGATATTCAAGAGTGTCTGGATACGTCAATAAACTGAAGTGGCTTTGTAAAGAAGAGAGGGGCAAAATTTCCTTATAATCACAAGAGGGAAGGGAAGTTACACAGGAAACGACTTCTTCAGCTTATTGCTGCTGAAGGAGCTTCTTCATCTCATGTGGATGTTTATTTGAGGCAGCAGCTGCGACAGCATCAAGTTCAGCCGAAAACGTCTCAGGAGGACAATAAAGTGTCCAGTATATCACTCAGTGAGCTGTTGTGTCGCATCTTTCTCCAGAAACAATGTAATGAATTCAGAACAAAACCCAAAACCCTTTGCAGAAACTCCCAAGGAAAGTGTTCTTTATTTTTATTTTTTTTTTATTTTTAACTTTGCAAGTCTCGTGAAACAATCCAAACAAACCCCTCGGTGTGATGAATATTTATATCTAATCTTTGCTTCGCTGCGATACCATCAAAAGTAATTTGCATCTCATTAAATTTCATCATGTTCTCTGCTTTTTTTTTTTAATAATTTTATTTCTCAACATCCACAAGCATGCGTTGTTGATTGATGGAGTTTTTCACTATTTCTGTCAGTAACACAAAACCAAAACCACTCTGTGTTTCTAAGCATTGTAAAATAGCGCACCACCAAACTGTGCGGCCATGCACACGAGCAGCACCGCAAGATGTTACTTCATTCATTCAACCGAGAAAAGAAAAAAAAAAAAAAAAAAAGTATTGTAAACTATTTCCTGGATGGTCGGTCAAAAGCCACATCTTTCAAATTATCCTCATTGGGTATTCATGTTTAAAACAGATGGCATATGATGTAATTCAGCCTTCTGTGCATTGGTCTTCTTGGATTTCTTCCTTTTTAAGATCATGTACTTGAATGCAGTGTAATCCGATGCCTTTTGAACCGCAGCGAAAATCCGTGCATGAAAAATCGACTGGTTGTTTAAGAAAGCAGTAGCCTACTATAAGCTCGAATGATGACTTCACCTGACTTAGCTCTTTTTTTTTTTTTTTTTTTTTTTCCCCCCGCTGATGGGGCCTTTTTTTAGGTGTTCC